AAAATTCTAAATACAAACCGGCAATACATTCCAACATATGAATATGCAATAATTTTGGGAGCAAACTGATTGACGAGGGAATGGAATCCTTCCAAGCAACTGGTCTGCACCCAAGGGGAAGCTTGCTGAATACCCTTTCTCAGATAATCTTTTGTCAAGGCTTTACAAATTCTTTCATACACCTCTGACCCTACAGACAGAGAAAAAAAGGTAACTTAGAAAGTGTTTTAAATTTTGAGATTAATAATCTTACACTCCTGCTTACTTCTTGGGTGAGAACTTTACACAGGGTGACAATAGTTTAGTTTGGATTTTATGAAACTTAAAGCCAAATAGATTACATTATGCAAAATGTACCTTTAGATAACCAACGTCTGGGTTGAAGTATCCCATGATTGCACTTGTTAAAAATTGGATCATCTAGGCTATTGTGAACATTCACTATGTGACTGAGAAAAGATTTAAACTTTGCCCAGATCACAGTACCAGAACCATTTGAAGTAGGTGTGGCACTCCAGTACAGATGCATCTCACAGGGCTTTATCCACTCCTTTACTTCTTCATAATGCTTTTCTTTAGAAATTTTTGTGAGGACTTTCCTGATTTCTAAAATGCATAAAATTAATCTACATGTATAGTGGCAGTGCACATATATTCAACTCTAATAAGCCTGAAGCAAGATGACGTTTTACCCCCGACTCTATACCATAATAGTTTTTTAAATTGTTTCATATTAAAACTTTTGATTCCTTAGARAATACAGGAACAATAGTCATAGTTAAAGAACAAAAGCAATGTGAAAAGGACTATAGTCTAGTAACGGGGGGTAAAACGTCATCTTGCTTCAGGATAATATATAAACTTTTCATGCGTCAGGGCAAGTATGCTCTACATCTACTCATTGCAATAATGGTTTCATAATAATAAATCACAGACAGGTTTAATATTACAGTGCGGCTAATAAAACCGTGGCCAATTGTATAAAATTGACCGGTAAGAAATTCGAACTAAATGCTACCATATGATTGGCTAATAATTCTAGTTTATCAAGTCGCCCTGGATATAGTAATCACACTAACTATTCTGCATATACTGTATATTGGTCATTTGCATACAAGTCAAAGCAATAATGAAGTCACTCATAACCCACTTTTCTTAAGGTGCCATAAATCAAAGTAGTGGACAATGTTTGTCAACACCTTCTTCATATGACAAGCAATACCAGTGTGTCGGTCAGATATAAATGTTAAAATCACAATCCTATTAGGTATTCCATGCATTGTTTGAAGCCTTCAAACTCCATTGCAGGACTATTTCCCACTTGGTTCCTCTGCGAGCAATGAAATAAAAAATTAAAAATATTTGTTTGCTGAAACAAAATTTGTGGTTCATGAAAAATAAAGATGGCAGTAATTGATATTAACTGCTATTTTTCTTATAGATGGTTCAAAAGAGAGTCCTACTGATAAAGTTCATGTCTCACCTGAATTAATGCAAAATGTATAATCATGGGGACAGTGCAACAAAACATGGTATATGCACCATATTTTGCACTGTGCCCCATTCTGTCATGCCGTCCATCATGTAGCGTGGGGTAAACATTCACTCCAAAACTGTCTCATTTCAGTCGAGGGATGGCCGGTTTTCCTAAGGTAGCAAGAGTTGTAAATCATCGCTCAAATGATTCTACTCTAAAATGCACAGAACATATGCACGAGTTCCTTGTAGGCTCCCTTCACCTTTACAAACTTTATCCATCTAGTCCTTCGCTTCTTGGCCTCGGGTCTTTCATCATTAAAATACGGAATACTATGAAGGGCAATCCCTTCAGGAATATTTGGAAYGTTGCTACATCCCCAAACTACACATTTGTTGGGCATTTTAGCGTTTGGAAATAAAACGTATTTAAGAAATTTGATAAAAGCAAGCGAATAGTCTACAAAAATCTGTATAGAATCTGTGGTAATCTTTGGTTGTGTTGGCCAGTGGTGACGTCACACGCCGCTCGCCCCAATCTCCTCTGTAATTACGGCCATGGTTCACTTACTTCGGCTAAAATGGTCAATTTTTCAATCTTTGACAGAGCACCAAAAATTCCCGTTTTGATGAATCTAAAAAGTTTTTTCAAAAATCTGCTTTTTGTGCCTTAAAGTTTTACTCCAGATCRGAAAAAAATAGGGTGTAGGTGCACTTTATATAACTTAGGGTTAACTTGCAGCTTTATCGCTTCCGTCACCTCTTTTACTACGTTTGGATCTCTAGTGGCTCATTGACGCAGAAGGCGCTCATAGAACTCTTTCCTTAGTTTGTGGTTATATTCTGCACACACTCTTTGCACTTCAAGATGATTTCCATCCTTTGATAAGGCAAAATTAGCTTCAAATCCACATCCCTGTCTGAATGAGGTTGTTGCTCGCTGCCTCTTCTTTGACTCCACTTCTCTCCCACCAAATTTGCATGTCAGTCGCAAAGAGTAATAGTGAAGTTCTGCTTTAGCTGCTGAAACTCTTTTGGGCAAGCCTGGTACTTCTCTAATCAAGCAATGAATAAGTGATAGATATGTTGACTGATTTTTTGCCAGGTAGATCATTGTTGGCCCAAGAAAAACCGGTGAATGTGAGCTACCTTTCACCTGCAGAATAGTGTTCTTGTATGTTGTCACAAGAAGATAAAAAGGTCCAAGTATAATAGTCAAGTCAGTTCCTAATTCTGATATCTGACCTTTCTTTGTGCAACAGAATTTTGTGATGTTGTCTATCTGTTGGTCTGTGAACAGCATTATTGTTGGCAAGTCGTTGCAAGTTATTTCACGTATGAAACCATACAGGTACGATTTCTGTAATTCAATAACTGAAGCTAGAGGATCTTTTGTAGGAGGCTGGCTTTCCTTTTTTTGACAGCTTTAAGGTGCTTCAATGTTATGACATTCCAAAAGTCAACATCATGTTTCCAACTCATACAAAAACCACTATTACTTGTACTATAGTAAACTATTTTCTAGCAGGACAAAGCTATCAATATATCATATCGATTGATATCAGTTTACACTACTAGCATCTTAAAATATTTATGGAAAGACCATAAATATTATTTTGTATGAAATAATAGACAATTCATAGAAAATTCGCAGATGGTGTTACCCACATTTCATTCTTTTGAAATATGTAGAGTTATCTGACAATACATACATTATTATTTTTCAAATGGAATCTGTGGGAGTATCTACATTAGTATAACGATAAATGGAGCAATTTTCCTAAGACTATGAAACAGTTTCTAGGAATTAATGTGTGATCTAGTCGTAGACTTTAAAAAATCATGATTATGAGGTCTAATACCCTGTTTTAGTTATTGTAAACAACATTTATCATTCAGTTCAAGGTCTGAGAAAACTCACATTATTGTTGAAGCTACAATTTACCCAACATTAAGACTGTCTTCTTCTTTTACAATTGAAAATATAAAACAATTAAAGCTAAAGGACTTTTGAATGTGTTCAATTGATTGAATTTTTTAAGAGCAATTTCCTCCCCCACCAAAAAAAAAACCCTTTATTGACAAGTACTATCTAGCACAACAATGATCTCTATTGTACTGTATTGTAAATTAACTACGTTTACTTTTCTTTCGGCATGGCAATTTGTCATCTGTGATCTGCTCCCATTCTCTGTGCTTGTCTTTTCTCCCCCTTGTGTTCCCACTCTGGATTCTAATCGTGTTGCTGTTATAACCAAACATGCGAATGTCTGGATTATCACTACGCCTTCCAATTTTGCACTGTTTCCCAAAGTACTCTTCGACTGGGTCTTGACAGAAACACTCAGTCAAAACAATTTCCATTCCTTCTTGCAGAAGGAATTTCGTAGCCTCAATAACAGAATTAACTGTTATTCTGAAGCCTTCGTATGTCTGCCAGGAGAGAAACATACGTGCTCTGGCATTCTGGGTGAAGTTTCCTTGCCTGGTGTTGGTACTTTCTTTCCACTGTTGTAGATAATCCAAAAATTCTATTAAAAATTAGAACCTGTAATGAAATGTAGGCAAAAAAATATGTGAAACTTCAAATACAATTATCAGCTTTATAACTTTACAAAGCACGAGGATATAGTACTAATATTTTATGCTTGCTGTGCTTAAATAACTCGATTCAAATGATAATTATAAACTCTTCAGGGAGAGATTAAATCATAAAAGATATGTTTGGTTGAATTCTTTTTAGAACAAACTATTTTCTTTTTTTCTTTTTTGGATGGTGTTTCAGAAACAAGGTGTATTAGTTTTTGTTTTGTTGCACAGGTTTGGAGTGATTTTACTTTGCCAGTGGAAGAATACTACTAGTAATACATAGTTAACATCAAATCTATTGTTTGCTTTTGTTGTTGTTGTTGGTTTTTAATTTGGCTATTAGTAACTAATAATAGTATTACAATTTCATTTCATGGGCACAGTAAAATCACTCTAGTAAAACTACTCTACATAACWTAAGCATACCTT